GTACTTACCGCAATATGGTAATTTGAATTTCATTTCACTTTATAATCCGCCCAGGAAACTACTGACGGAAAATGTTCTTTCCAAACTTTTCTCTGACACTAATAAGTATATCCTAATGGGTGATCTCAACGCAAAGCACTCCGAGTGGGGGGGGTGCCGTAAAACTAACCAAAATGGTAAGGTCCTCTATGAATTTATAAATAATCACCCAGTTGCCCTGCATGTTACTGAGGAGTATATACGTACAGACCACCAGAACCCAAGAAATGCAGACCTTCTTGATATTCTTCTGACAAATACTTCAATCCCTATTTATACTGAAGTAAAGCACGAATTGAACTATGACCATATACCGGTCACTGCTTACCTAGGCACTACTAAAGAAGCAGAAAATGAAATGATCCGCACGACTGACTGGAATAAGTTCCAGAAGTTTCTCAGTCAGAATCCGCCTATCTTTGATACTCTGAACTCGCGGAAAGATATAGATGATGCAGTTGATACCCTCTTTGATTCAATCAATTCATTCAATTATTACAATAATGCTACTGAAAATGCATCTAGACACGTGAGAAGAAATAATAACGCTGGCATTCTGGCACAGGAAATAGAGAGATGATTAAGGACCGGAATAGGATGAGGAAAGCGTGGCACCTTACATGGAGCCCTCACGTTAAAAGAGATATGAACAAATTAAATAAATTAATTAAAAAGAAAATAGATGAGCATAAGAGAGATGTATGGGAGGAAAAAATTCAGAATCTTAGTCCGAATGATGGCACTCTCTGGACGTTCATGCGTAACTTGAAAAGGCAGCGTACATGCAAAAAGCCGATTTATACTGAAACTCTGTTGCTCTCAATAATAAAGACAAATCGACGGTCCTTGCGGACCATTTAGAAGAGCAGTTCAGACCTAACATGACGCCCATGGACATTAATTTTGTCAATGAGGCATGCTACATTGTTAGGGGATGGCTTAATGCTAAGAGATACATGGCCACTGCTACCCCCAGTGAAATCAAAGAAATCACAAAGAAGCTTAAAGTTAAAAAGGCCCCTGGCATAGACGGACGATACGGCATTAGCCGTAAAGTCCGTAAACGCACACCATGCAATCAAGAAGTTACAGGAACTTCTACCAGTAGTAGAAAAGTGGTGTACGACTTGGAGGATTGCTATTAATGCCAGCAAGTCGCAATTATTAATGATAAGGAGGAAAAATACACAGTTGACTATTAATAGCAAGCTCTTCTTATTCTCTGAAGAGATTTCTAGGGTTAGTTAGGCGAAATATTTAGGAGTAATGCTAAATGAAATATTAAAATGGGAAGATCATATAACAGAGGTCAGAAAGAAAAATTTTTTCACTGTTGTAAATAGTCTCATCCCTATATTGGGTAATTATTCTAGCTTAGACCTCAGGAAAAAGAGGCTAGTTTATATCACGGCAATTAGGCCATTGATGACTTATGCGTCGCCGGCCTGGTGCACGGCTACCAAGGAGGATATAAAAAGACTTCAAATCATGCAAAACAAAGTCTTAAGGCTTATCACCCATGCTCACTTTTTGGGAGCAATGCTACACTGCACTGTGACTTAAAACTGGACACTCTAGAAGAGCACATGAATAAGATCAATAGGAAATTCTTCACGAAAGCTCTGAACTGTGACCATATGAGAAATTTTGATATCAAAGAACATATAAATAATGTAATAAATTGTGCAAATTCCATGTTTATGGCTATAGCCAGTCGTAAATCTAAATTAAATATCTGGACTTTACCTTAATTTAATAAGGCCAATTATTCTGTATGCGGTACCTGCTTGGGCTACAGCAAATAAGACTGAATGCCAAAAAATTGATATTTAAGAGAATAAAATTCTCAAGGCAATTGTAAATGGACCTTGGTTTGTGCGAAATTCGATTATTTGTAAAGCACTAAAACTCAAGCCAATTCACCAACAAATTTTAATTATGGCACATGACGTTTTCCAAAGTTCAAAAAATTCACCTTATATGTCAATCAAAGAATTAACTAGTTATGATCCAACAATTGAAAACACTGTAAACAGGCTCAGAACAATTCACCATAACTCCGTTGTGGCAACTGTAATGAAACAACGGACAATATTCTAAATGTGTTTACTTGGCAAAAGCAGGTTATTCGACTTTTGTGTCTAATAAAGCTACAAGGACTTTATATTTTATCCTGTGTTTATTTTAAGCTACTGTATAATTATTACCGCCAACATGATTTGCCACAGTAAATCAAATTCGACAATCATGTAACATGATTACCTAGATCCAATTGGATAGAACGCAAACTTCAGATTTTTAATTTTAATTATTGCGCTTAAATTACTGAACTTAAAGAGAATTCATGGACTCTGTTCTCAAAACTGACAAAGGGCCTAAGGGACTTTGTTCAATTATTACCATAAATAATTATTTGCTTTGTATCATCATCTTCATACAAGTGCACCATCACGTGCAGTTTGTGTACGAAAATGGAACGTTTGAAAACCGAATACATAGGAGCATTCTAGTACTATTTAAATTGTTCATTTAGTTTAATATTCAATTCGTATCGACTTAAGACGGTACTAAACTTGCTCATAAAATTTTCTTTGAGCTTTCTCTAGTCATTCTTGCTTCTGAGAGACAGTGGAAATGCACTTAATATTTTACAACAGTGAATGGCCTTAGGGCAAATGTTAAATTACTGGTTAAAACTCTTATGCAGTTGTATAGCAGCGGTAATAAAATGATCTGCGAGGCAAGGACACAATCGAATGCGAATATCAGTGCTATTCTTGTTAGTATAATTGCACTGAAATGAGGACAATGACCCATTTATCAACATATCAGTAAAACTCTTAATAGAATCAGTGCAATGGCAAATTTTGTGTCAAAATATTTCGGTTTTTAGCTATTTTCGGTTTGAAGTGTTTTCATATTATATGCAACACAAACACTTTCTATGCATTTTATGTTGCCTAAATTCAGCTGCTACGAAATTTTTTTTTTTTCGGACTTTTGGAAAAATCTTCAAGTTTGAAAGTTTTAGAGCTAAAATTCCTGATATTTTGAAACTAAATTTCATTGTTATTTGGTTTTGAGTTAAAATTGCCATTGAATGGCATAGTAATTCAATGCATTTCATTAATTAAAATTTGGCATATGAAAATTACTACGACAGCACAACATGATATATATCATGTACAATCAAAATGCTGAAATCGGTACAAAAAAATTTCTTAAGAATAATAATAATGGTGGATATGTTTTTCATGCATGCATAAAATTTGACGGCCTTTGTATTATGTTTTCAAGACTTTCTTGCTTTTATGTGCGAGAGCCTGCATGTGCTATTTTATGGAAGAGCCACGGTTTGCCGACCACTGATCCAGAAGAATTGTATTTCCTTTTACAGTTTTAATAATTAGCTCTGTTATATTACAGCTTGTCAAATCTCTTCCTAAAATGGGGACAGAAAGTAACCTACACTCAATTTCTGAAGACTGGATTGAAAAAAGAAACAACAATTGGATACAGTTTTGCATTGGTAGAGAGGCAGAATGGAGCTGTTTTAATGCAATCAATAACTGAAGATTCCTTTTTCACACCCATTTCTTTAACAATTGCAGTCATTTTTCTCCCTGCTTTTCAATGCAACTGTACAAAAAATTTTTCATATTAGCACGCTTTTTTCCCCGTCCTGCTGCTGGAAGATTTTGATTTATTTCATCGCAAAGGTTTTTCAAATCTATGATTGCGTACACAGGCTTTAACTTATTCACAGAGGATCCTACATTTTTGGTCTGTTTTTTAGAATTAGAAGCTCCTTCTGTGTTTTTGATTAAACCTAAATATTTTGCAAACTGAAGCCCTGCTTTCTACACAACAGCTATAGTGCTTTTATCTTTTCTAGATGAATGACACTTGAGTTTTTGTTTCTCAAGGAGTAGTTGCTCTAGCCAAACAAACAGTTTCTCTAGCTTAGCAATTTTCTTTTGTGTCAGTGCTTCTGGCAATAACATCATTATGTTATTGCCAGAAGTCCTTATTAATACTTTTCCAAACTCTTTTTAAACCTTTTAATGTCTTTACCTGCTTTATTCTGTTAAGTAACACTTTTTGCTGAAGAAGAAAAAATATTAAAATCAAGAAAGATTTATTAATATTACTTCTTAACAATTTCGCTATCAGAAAGAATAGGCATTCTGCCTTAATAACTTTTTACCTTTTTCATAGACATAACTATGACAAAAGATTGCAATTTCTTAAACTATTTCTTGAAAGCATGTGAAACTCAGAGGTGAGTCTGTGGTAAGATGAATGAAATAACAACTTCAATCTTGCTTTGTGCTCGATCTGGAAGATGATGTTTTTGGACATGTGCTCTCACACGCAAAGTAGAAGTGCGACATAATATCTCACTAATGAAACAACTATAGTTTTCTTTTATATGTAATCTAGAGAAAAATCAAATACTTTCCAATGACAATAATCACTTTTTCGGGTGCAAATAACGAAGTATTAAGCCAAGCATATAAAAGAATTATGAGAAATCTTAAGAATAAGAGAAAGTTAGGAAAAATATCTTGCAAATTGGGTTGGTGGGAGTATAGTTGAAAATCGGGAGAGTTGAGAACACTGAGATTGCTATGCTGATATTGATGATTATAACACAGAAAGATGGATAATGTAACTTTTTAATCACTAAAAGGTCAAGTGATTGATTTGTTTTGCATTAAATATCCTGTTTATTATGCCATTAGCTGCTTTCTTGCTCTTCTGTCAAGAAACATAACTTGAATCTCATTGAGTATCAACTATGCAATAAATTTAAACCCCGACAAAAGCTAAATTTAGAATATTTGATTGAAATTACAGATTCATTTATTATTTTATACATGATTTAAGCAACTTCATTAAATTTTAAGGTGTTATTTGTTACTACGAATATATCAGTACAAAGTTCACTAAAAACCAAATCAAAAATTTTTTCACTTTTTATTAAGATATTTAAATAATTATAATTAATTAAAAATAATTTCAATACAGTAATTAATTATCATAATTTATGCAATAATGTCAATACAATTTTAGATGTACAAAATATTAAGTCTCTAGCAGTTTCTTTATCACCAGACCGCTTTAAAAGTGTATTGTTTTCAATGCAACTTTTCAACAAATTTTCCATTTTAACACGCTTTTTTTGCCGTCCTGCTGCTGGAAGATTCTGATTTACTTGCTCGCAAAGTTTTTTCAAACCTGTGATTGTGTACACAGGTTTTAACTTATTCACGGAGGATCCTACATTTTCGGTCTGTTTTTCAGAACTAGAAGCTCCTTCTGTGTTTTTGATTAAACCCAAATATATTGCAAACTGAAGCCCTGCTTTCTGCACAACAGCTATAGTGCATTTATTTTTTCTAGATGAATAACACTTGAGTTTTTGTTTCTCAAGGAGTAGCTGCTTTAGCTGAACAAACAGTTTCTCTATCTTGTCAATTTTCTTTTGTGTCAGTGCTTCTGGCAATAACATCTGAAAGTCCTTATCAATACTTCTCCAAACTCTTTTTAAACCTTTTAGTGTCTTTACCTGCTTTATTCTGTGAAGTAACACCTTTTGCTGAAGAAGAAAATTTATAAAAAAATCGTGGAAGATTTATTAATAACAAGACAGTGAAATGAATGCAAAGGAAACAAATTTGAAAACATCAAACAAAACAGATACATACTTGTTTAGTTAATCTTTTGACTTTGTCATCTGCATCATCTGACAGCACAATCTCTTAAAAAAGATTCAGAAAAGTAATTTGAAAGCAGTATGAAGGAATTTTTAAGAAATGCATTTTTAGATGAATTATATCATGAAAAATCATTCATATGTCAAAAAAATATATATATAGGGAGAGAAATAAAAATTACAATTACCCTGGGATACTGACCTTTTGCATACAGCCAAGTATGAGGAATAAGCTTATTTTAAATTAAATATTTCTGTAATTTGGCTTTTCTAACATATGCAGGCAGTATTAAACATTTTATAAAACTTTACATTTCATATTTATCATAGATCTGGAAATTTTAAGCTATAACTTAATACTTCATCTTGGTACGGTCTATTTTAAAATAAGGAACACAACAGGAAGGACAGTTCTTGGCATATTTTAAAACAAGAATGAACAAAAATTAAAACATGCAGTTTATTATTTTGCAATTAAATTATTAAAGGTTTATTATTTTATAATAAAACTTTACTACGTGAAGCATTTATCAAGTACAAAATAAAGCAGATATTTTAATATTTCACTACAAATTCAATAGCACAAATGTGGGAACCCACACTTTTCTTCTCACAGTTAGTTAACTATATCTATAAACAGAAAAAGTACTAAAAAGTAAACAATACAGTACAGTCAAAAATGATAAAACTTATTTATCATTTTTGACTAAAGATGATTAGATGCCTGCACCACATACAGAAAAAACTGTTAAGCAGTTAAACTGTAGCTAATTATTTACTCTTATATAGACTTGTTTTCAAGAAAATGCATCTGTTGTAAAAGACTGGCTTATCTATTTATCATGCTTGAGGAGAAAAAATACACCCAAATTTAATGTTTAATTGATTAATTTGATTTAAATTGTATTACTAAGATCCCTTCTGGGGGCTGATGATCATCAACTAAAATCATCAACCCTAATTTTGACAGAATAACAGCTTTTACTGTTAGCTGTATTACTTATGGATTACTGAAAATGCAACAATTCATTGAACCAGTCTATTTCAGCATTTTTCAGTCAATGAATTACAACAAAGCTTTCCGAAAAAGACAAAATACAATTCATATTCACTGAGTAAACCCCATTATAGTTGAAAACTTCAGTTTGGGAATCTTACATGGTAATTAACTATCATTTACTTGTTTTCTCCTAAGAATGAATGAAATTTATTACCAGTTACTCTACCTATAGATATCCCATTCCAGTCTTAGCAATAAAAGAGGGATTTAAAGCACAATGATTGCGGAGCTTCTCAACATTTTTTCGTGGCACATCTCACACTGCACTTGTAATCCAGCTGGAGACCATTCCAGTTCATCACAATGCAGCAAAGTAATGAACCTCCTTTTCATGTATTTGTGAGTTTCTCAATAGTTCTGAAGCTGCACTGAAATGTCACATACACATATAAACTACACCTTTAATTGCTGAAAATCGGACACGTTTTTACATTAATTAAAAATGTGTCAGAACCTCAAAGTGACAGAAAAAATCCTTACTTATTAAATTAAGTATTTAGATAATAATGACAGCTTTCCCCCCTTCTCTTTCAAATTTTCTTACATTAACATTATCCATATTTGTCTATGACTTTTAATACTCACTTAATAATCCCTGCATTGATTCATATAGGATAGCTTTTTTGCCTAATTTTAAACCTCATCCAGACCATGAATGATACCCTGGATCCCAACAGATGTCAAGATCATAATTACATGAGTATATCTGATAAAGGTGATGTTAAAAAATACTGAAGCACACAGATACAATTCAAATTAAAGAAAAGCATTTATATTTATTCTTACAGCATACTTTTTAAATTTCAGATGACAACTCTTAGTAGCATTATAAACTTCTCTTTCACTCAATTGTCCGTGAGGGTAAGTATTTTGCATAAAATATTTGTTCTTCAAAAAATTAAATAAATAGATAAAAATCTGAAAGTTTTCAGATTTTATATTATGCCCTCATTGCTTCTTTAAATATAATACAGGGCTTTAATATTTGGTGGCAACAATTTGAAAAGTGAAATGTGGTTTATAGTGAACCAACGCAAAATGCCAAAACCAAATTAATAGTCCTTCTCGGCAAATTGGCCCTTTGGGCTTAAAAAAAAAATTACTGAAACGTTCAGAACTTTCAAAAGATATTAGCAATGATAAATATATGAAAATTATTAACCCACGGGAAAGCACATGGGGTGTATCATACTTCACCCCTACAAAAAAGTGGAATATTCCTAACTTGTGAAACTGAAATTCTATGCTGCATTCAATAGTGGAGTTTCTGGTAGTTGTTGACTTTCAGAACCTCTTTTCCATTGCCTACGAGTTTCAGAAAATGATTTATCGGTATTTTGTTGCAACTGGGGTATGACACACCCCACGCACCTGTTCATGTAAGTGTTTTTCTGATTGAATATTTATTTGAGAAATTTATTTCTAGAGTGCAACAATAAATATTTCTACTCACAAGTGATTGCAAAGTATTCAAAATTAAATTTTCAAAAATTTCTAAGCACAATATGGCAAAAAGAATGACTCCTTATGAATTGGAGATGCAATGGCTGTGAGATTTATTAGAAATATTGGAAAGTGATGAAGACTGCATTTCAGAAACTGAAGATGAAAACAGGAATATTTTCTACACTGGTTTCGAAAAAGATAAAACATTTATTTCTTACATTCTTAAAAAGGAAAAACTGTTTTTATTCTTTCAATATTACATAATGACGATGCTATAGATCATACTATTGGAGAAAAGAAAACACCAGAAATTATATGTTTTTATAATATGACTAAGGGAGCAGTGGATACTGTGGATGAAACGACAGCAAGTTATTCAATTGCCCAGAATAACAAGGAGGTGGCCGATGGTAATTTTCTTTTTTTGCACTGAATGTTGCTGCAATAAATGCTTGAATTACAATACTTTCAAACCCTTAATCCACTAACCAGATACAGAAGCAAATGTCTGTTTTTGAGGGATTTAGCAGTACAATTAAGAATAATGATTAAAAAAAAGAACAATCAGAGATTAATACTTTACCGAGAAATCTACTTACTGCAAGCAAAAGAAGAACAGAAGTTTCGATGAAAATTTCAAATGAACATATGAAATTTGAAATAACTAAGTATAAAAGATGTGATGAATGCTCTTGAGCCAAAAGAACACAAATGCGACGTTAAGAGTGTGAAAACTTTCTCTGCCAAGAAAACTTGAATGTATTCTGTTCAAAGTGTAAACAAATAAAATAAGCATTGTATATTAGAGATGCAATAAAACTTAGAGGTACGATTTTTATTTTGTTATTATTTTCATTTATCTTAATTTTAACTCTCTATAAGCTTATTTTGGAAATTAATTTTTTGTAACTCAAGTATTATTTATGTATTATAAAAGAAAAACAGCTTGAAAGCTTAATAAAACTATTTTTACTGTATTTTAAATATTGGGGTATGTAATACCCCATGCCCCCACTCCAGTAACTTTTCTTGATGTGCCTTCCGCTGGGTTAATCCTCCTCCCCCCTCAGAAAAAAGAAAACGAAAAAAGAAAATTTGAAAGGCTTCAGATTTTAACATTGCACCAGAGGGTTTGTTAAGCTTCTTTATACTCTCACTGAACTTACAGTTTATATATCTGCTTTTGGACTGTCTTTTTAACTTTATTATTACACATAACTTTCTTCACACTTACCACATAAAATCAACAGAAAATAACAAAATTTTCAAAAACAGTGTATGTTCAGAATTCCTGATGCAGTGTTAAGTGTAGAAATGCATTTTTAAGCTCAGAAGGGTAATTAGTATTGTTAAATCACTTTTGCTGCCCATTTCATTTTTCAAATACTTAGTCGTTGGCTTCATCAGCCACCTAAAATAGTTTCAATAAAAACGAAGAAAATATACATTTTTTTAAAAATAAATCCAGCTATTGTAATTTAACAGAACCTGCTAGTAATTAATAAAAGAGCCAACAAACTGCATTTATAGCTTTCAAGTAACTTAGTTTGTTATTCAATGACAAGAAAATTACCAGTGGGAGTTAAAAAAGTACTGGTACTTTGGTACACATCTGCTGTGAATTCATTACATGAAACTTAGTATACGTCCTGCTTGGATGTGAAAATTACAATAACTCTGAATTTCCAAGAGATTTTGTGTTTTCATATGGACAATTTTTTTTAAAATTCATTAACAATGAGTTTTAGAAAAGACTCAATGCATGAAATCGATTACAAAAGATCAGAGATGTTAGAGTATACTGAAAAATTGCTTTTTATCTGATATCAGGGGAAAAAAAATTATTTTACCCACTGTATTTGTATTAGTATTAAACAGTGTTATAATAATAACAATGGGATTTTTTATAAAACTGGATTAATTACTTCCTTTTTATTTCTTACTGGAAAAGTTCGTTTGGTATACATCAAGGAATCTGGAACAGATTAATGATATATACCGAGGTACCACTGTAATATTTTATACTGGATACCTTTAGAAGTCCAGATAAAGAGTTAAATATTGCCATACATTTTTAAATATTTGCTATATGATTTCATTAAAAATAGTACACAGGAATAACATTTGGTAGCAACATCCTTTTATTTGTGTTGCCATAATCGTTTTCTGTATTTACTATATTATTTCTTTAAAAATAATACATGGCGATAACATTTGGTGGCAGCATAGTTTTATTTGTGTTGCCATATACTATTCTTATATTTGCTTTATTAGTTCAATAAAAATAATGAATGGTAATAACATTTAATTGAAAAGTGACAAAATAAAAAATGCGAAATTTGAGACTAACAGCACCTCTGATGCTAAAAAAAAAAGTGACAGCTAGAAATTACTGACAATATATTTTTATTAAAGTATGCTGAAAATACTTCCATTTAAACCTAATACAGTCAAAAGTCTTTAATCCGGACTCGTCGGGACTTCGGCGATTCCGGATTATTGATTTTTCGGATTATAGATCATCAGTTTAAATCTGGTAAGATGGCATGCAGAAATTATAAAATTAAAAATATGAAACTGTAATTTATAAAATAATGAGCAATTATGATCTAAAGGGTATCAAAATTTACAAAAAAAAAAAAAAAAAAAAAGAAGCTTAATATCTATTTGTTTACTTTATTAAACATGTCTTTCAACGCGCGCATTCGTAAAGCATACCTTACGCATAGCCGAAATTAGAAAATTGCAACCAGAAAAAAATTTGATTTGTATTCGTGATATTTATAATGACGAGGAATTTGATTTAAATCATACCAAAGACGGAGTACATCCAGATGAAATACTACATTTAGTAAGCAATTATAAGCCAAATAAAATAAAAACATCTGCCCTGAATATAACGATAGTTCTGACAGATCAACTTCCAGTTCATTGCGCACCGCGACATTCCCCCCCTCACGCAGAGCAGCGTGAAATTGATAAACAGATTTCGGAACGGTTAGATAAACAAAGGATATGCCTTTATCCATTTTTTGTAGCAATTCGTTTTTTGTTTGATGGACATCAAAACATACTTTCGTTTTCTAGATCCTTTGGGAGCTCCAGCATCAGAAATTCTATTTGACATAATCAAAAGTTCAAGCTTACTTTTATAAAATTGCTCTTACAGTCTGCAAAAAATAATACGCCGGATCCAATTCGGAGATTAAGGAACAATGCAATAATCAACATTAACTGAAATAGATAATTACATAATTTTAGCTTATATCGTCCGCTATACATAAAACACGCACGCGAAAATGTATTCTGTGCTTGCGCACACACGCAGTCGTAAAGGTCTTACGCGCATGCGTAAACGCCTATGCGCATGCGTCAATGCGGCACATGCGCAGAAAGATTTTAGCTTTGAGGTCCGGATTATGGGTGTCTGAATTAACGACTTTTGACTGTATAATCATACTTGTTATATACAAGCTCCAGCTATTAATTTCCAGGACTGATGTAACTGTAGGAGAACGAAAAGTCAGATGATGGCGCTAATGATTGCATATTGAAGAGCATTTTCTTATGCATGTGCAATGCAATTGATGCCATTCTAAAGTAAGTGATTCTCGTGGAAAGGCACATTAAGACATAGCTAATTATAAATAATAAAATGGAGCAAAAAATTAACATTTAATTTTGCTTTAAATTGGGCATGACAGCTGCGGAAACCTACAAAATGTTAAAAAAAGTTTACGGCGAGGAAGCATTAACCTGCTCAAGAACTTTTGAATGGTTTAAATGCTTTCAGGATGGGCACGAAAGCATCGAAGATGATCCACACACAGGTCGGATGCAGTCCGTACGCATGGCGGAAGCAATTAAGAAAGTTCGCGATATAGTGAAATATGATCAGCGATTGACTATTCGAGTACTCGCCAATGAACTGAACATGGACAAAGAGTTTGGTTTGGTTTATTTAATTATGGCAAAGCACGCTAGGGATATCTGCCTAAGGGGAGGGATGCCTTCATGGAGGACTTTCTAAGGGAAACTGGCTCATATACACGTACATGGGGAAAACCACAAAAACGCCCATGCAGCCAGCTCTTTCGCGGGATTCGAACCTCGGACCGAACTACCAGTGTTCAGCGACTTTACCGCTTGGCCGCTAGTGGGCTCCATAGACAAACAGATGGTTCGGCGAATTTTGATGCAAGACTTGGGCAAATGCAAGATTTGCTCCAGATTCGTTCCTCACCATTTAAGGGTCGAACAAAAGCAATTGAGACTGGACGCATGTCGCGAACTTATCGACAACGGTGATGCTGACCCTGCATTCCTGGATAGGATAGTCACGGAAGACGAGTCTTGGTGTTATAAATATGACTCTGAAACCAAGCATCAAAGCTCTGAATGGTGGTTTCCAAGTTCACCAAGGCAGAAAAAATTTCGGTTTGAAAAGTCCAAAATCAAGGTCATGTTAATCGCTTTCTTCGATTGCAATGGAATCATTCATCATAAATTTCTTCCTCCTAACATGACTATCAATGGACAGTTCTACACAGAAGTTTTTGACCGACTTCGAAAACGAATTTGTAGAGTTCAACAAAATGGGTGTTGGTTGCTGCTACATGACAATGCCCGCCCACATACTGCATTGCCTGTGAGGCAATTCTTAGCCCAGCATGGTGTCGTTGAAATGCAGCATCCACCATACTCTCCAGACCTAGCACCCGAAGACATTTTCCTGTTTCCTAAGCTGAAAAATTTGCTGAAGGGAACAAGATTTCAGGATGTCGAAGCCATCAAGAAAACTGTAACGTCACTATTAAAGAGCATTCCAAAAGAGGACTTTAAAACTTTTTCCGTACGGCTGATGGGGATTACTTTGAATCATATTAAATGGCTATGTGTTTAACCTTTTTTTCTTCTGATTTATTCCACGAGCTCTGGAAATTAATAGCTGGACCTTGTATATATATTAGCATTAATAAAATATACAAAAGTGTACTAGTATTACCTTCAATAACTGGGTCAGTGGATTTCTCATCATGATTTTCAATAATAACACAGTCATCATCTTCTTCTACATTTTGTTCAGCAACATTTTGAAGATAGGGTGTTAAAAAAGCAAGGTTCTCTTTAAAAACAGAGAGCGGTCTAAAAAAAATATATATATAATTGATAACAGTAGTAAAGTTTTTTTTTTTTTTTTTTTTAATGACTGGTGGCCACTTGCCTATAACGGCATTGACCACTATTACGGCCAAAAGAGGTAGCCATTTTATTATGGAGGCACCTAATAGACGGCCAACATTACCTCCAACGAAGGGACAGACAATTTTACATACATTTCTTCTCTGGGATTTGAACACGGGCCCAGGCAGGCTCCCCTAACCACTATACCGTCTGGGCGGTTAAAGTAAAGTTTGATGAAAGATATTTCAACTTCAGAACTCATTTTTAATTGTTTTCTTTTCTTAAGCAAAATGCTTAAAATAAAATTTTTGAATTAACAAATCAAGAATATATTTTTGAAATGTTACAACACAAAATTATCACACACACCTACTTCATAAAGCTTGGATAAGAAAATCTACTTATTTCCAAAACAAACCCTACTTAATTACTTTTATTTTAAACTCAAATTCAATAAAACATTAATTAACTGCATCTCTGTCATCAATTAAAAATTCACAATTTTTTTTTTTTTTTAGAAATGAATTATGTTAGAATTGCATTCTGTTATTAAAGACTTTGTCTTATTACTTACTTGAATATATGCTGAAAATGCTACAGAAATAATTTTTATTTGAAATTAAAACCAGTTTTATTTACTATTATCATTTGATGACAAAAGCATAACATACATCATTCAGAGAAGGGATTTTTGGTCATAAGGCTTTGTAACTTAAAGTGTAAACACGTATATAGAGTTTAAACTGTAGCCAATCACAAAAGGTAAAGTTATGCATGTGTAAATGTGCAGCTGTTGACCGAATGAAAGTTCAAATTTGCTTCACTGTGATTAGTTGATTCTTATACTAAGTTGGCATAAAGTCGAAAAGTTGGAGCATTTAGGCAAAACCCTTAAACCAGTTTTTGTGATGTAGCAAGTTTGTTTGTCTAGCAACAAAGCACTCTCACTTTGGTTTCTACTGCAAACTTTTCTTTAAAACTTATCAATTTTCTTATGCATGGATATATGTGATGAACATATCTTTCCATAAACAGGAAACATTCCTTTATGAATACCTTTCATATGATGTCCTTTTGCCTCTCCCCTTAACAAACAAACAAACAAAAAGAAAGAAAAAGAAGAAGAAAAAGATAACAGCATGCTTCTCCTCTCTAAGCACAATCATCGAGTTCCATTAGCATTTTCAAACTGAACAATGCATGTGCAGCTGAAGCTTAGTAACTAACAAAATTAATATCATGAACTTGGATAGTTCTACTACCTATTAATAAGGAAGGAACACATTATTAACTATTACTACCACTTTTTATAAACCTACATATATATTTCTATAACATACCTATACAAAATGGTTCTGCTACCTATTAACATACATGCATTCGTAGTTATCAAACACATAATTCCAATTTGTGACTTACTTAATGAATATTTCTCATATTATCAGTGTAGCCATACAACTAGTTTTTGTTTTTGTTGTTCAGAAATTCTGCAGTGAATAGTTCTCCAACATATTTTTTGCACTTTGAATAATTTTAATTAAAAAAAAGTACACATATGTGTCAGTGTTCCGGAAGTGATTAGGATATTTTTCAGGAGTAATGAAGACATGCATGCAAGATAGTTTTACACAAATGAGGTTAGATATGTTGAATACATTATCATACAGTTTTGAAATACTACTCATATATATAAAAGGGTAAAATGGTTTGCAGATGAGCATTTTAAGAAAGGGAGAAAATACTGTCTAACACCTGGTCCATTATAAACAATTTAAAACACACACTTAACATTAATTCAGAACAACAAGCAATCATTACTTCAAAATATCATATTCATTTAGCTTCAACCATGCTTCTAAATCATCAGGCAATTCTAAACTTCTTGGCTGTAATAAATTAAGATTTTTTAATGAAATTATAATTACTATCTTCATGACAGGTAAAGAGCAAAAAAATTAAGACACTGATAATATGCATTCTAAAAACTTTATTGATTCTTGATTATTTTTAAGACAAATTTTCATTAAGCTAATCAAATTATCACATTAATTATTATTATTAACACATTCCCAATTTTCAGAAATCAGACTCAAAGTAAAGATGAAAGACGGCTAGGCCTTAATGACCAATTTTGTATAATCATCATAATCATCTAGATCAGTAGTTTCCAAACTGAGTCACAAGAAAAAGGGATAACCTTAAAAAATAAAAATACCATAGTAGGAAATACTACTTGTTGCTCTGCAAACACATATATCAATAAAATATATTTCAAGATATTGTCAAATATCGACAGCAAAACTAAGATACCTCAACATCATAGTATATTAAAATAAAACATAATTAAAAGAAATGACTCAGAAAAGAAAGAAGAAATAATTAATTACACCCTACATACCTCAAAAACAGATTTAAATTTTTTTTTTTTTTAAACGAAAATACTTTCCACTGACAGAAGCACAAAATTTTATAATTTTACAAATGCTTAGCTCCCTAGAATGAAATTTATGATGATCACAAAAGAAAGAGAAATATGTCAATGTAAAAATAAGTTTTTACAATTCTAAAAGCCAAGCTAAAAGCAAATAATAAAAACAACATACTTTTTTTTTTTTTTTTTTTTTTTTTTTTTTTTTTTTTTTACAAAAAGTAGAGCACAGAAGTCAGGACACTCCTGAAGAAAGCTCAAAAGATGTGGATATTTTGGGAGGAAGGACAGGGATCCCTTAGATTTGATCAATTATTGTCCTAATAAATATATTTCTCACGTATACAAATTGAAAAGAATATAGTTTTTTTGGGGGAAAGATGGGGAAGCTAGCCCTGTTTTCTGTACTAGTCCTTTAGTTCATATAACATGAATTTGCACAATGCTTTCTTTTTTAGGAAACAGTATTATATAGAAGTTATTTTAAATGAAGGCTATAGAAATGGTAAAGGACAAGATAAGAATCATAAGGATTTTACATAAGAATCTTGTAGGACAATGTTTTTGACATGATATAACACTCAAACTAATAAAGAGTACAGATGTACATCAGTAACATCCAAATAAAGAGTACAGAGATACATGAAATGGATATTTTATACGATACCAATAACTAACTGACAAAAGAAAAAATTGTCATTTTAGGAGTTTAAATTTCTATGCCTACTTTACAATTTTTGTACTATTCAGTCTTTCATAATATAAAAATACTTACCCACTTCCAGTCTCCTTTTTTCAGCCTTTGACACCATGGCAATAGTTTTTGATACATTTCAAACATTTGTACCAAAAGATCTTTAATTAGTATGCTAGCAATAAAAAGACAAAGATATGAGTAACATGAAACTCATATTAGTAATTTATTCAAAAGAAATACAATCACAGAATATAATATTATATTATGCTAGAAATACATATTGGTTTGAGTGTCCTACATTCAGTTCAAATATCACACTAAGCAAAGTACCCTGCATGGCTCTTTTCAGTATTTCAATAAAATGCAAAACAGTACTTACCACACTTTAGCTGTGACTGAAGAAGCCATTAGTAAACCCACCATATCATGATTAGTTCTAAGCTTTTCCATTATATAACTATGAAAAAGTTAAGTATATATATCAACTAACTATTTTACATTTATAAGTATAGCACAGTTAACATTCTAAACAAATGCCAGAAAGGTTATATAAAGGTTATATGGAACTATAAAAACTAATCATGTACATGTTCTGAATTAATTCAACATTCAAATGCATTGTAGGTTCACTATATGCCCCCCTTAAAAAAGATGAGTATCACATGGTGGTTTTAAATGGATTTATCAATTATAATAATACACAAATATATCCCTTGAAATTATGTATAAAACATTTTTAAATAATGTTTCAAAATTATAATAATGCAAAAATTTGAAATAAATCAAAAAATTATTTGTTTCAATAATTTTATGCAGTTATTTGAAAATATATTTATTTTATGAGTGATGCACAACCAGCAATATTTAACCCTGATTTCCCACCTATAATTTGGGCACCAGTTACTAGTTTTGAATAATAATTATATAAATAAAAGCATTATAGCTTTTTATACTGAATCCTGCTCATTAAATTTTAATCAAATCTAATATTTTATTCATGAAATCTTGAGTCTAAGCACGAATAATTAGCGAAACACAATTTTTACTTAAAAGTATTTTTATGTCATACATAACCCAATGAGAAATAAGTAATCACGGACTGTTCAATTAAAAATGTTAAACTATTTTCTTTCCTATCAAAATAAAGAAGAAAGACATGAACAATAGTGAAGAACACAAAAGCATTACTATTCATAAAGGATACTTGAATGTTTCTCTTGAGTAAAGTAAAGTTTCTAACACAAGCTTAGAAACAGCTTGAGTGCGAATCAGAACAAATTCTAGCTGCTGGCGTGAAGGTAAAACAGATACTGATGCAGAATCTTGAAGTCCTCTAAAAAATTAAACATATAAATAAAAATATTAAAATCACCATTTCTTTCAACAATAGTAAATAGTTTTTAACCTTGACAGAGCTAAGAAATTTTAGCTGATGGGGGATAGGGTTCAGCTTATTTGTCATTTATTTTTTACATTTAAGGCAGGAGAGATCACAACTACAAGGTACTTATTAAATACTGAAATTTGATGTATTCATGCCCTCTCCATCCGGATTGACTTATAATGGGAGGCCAGAGATTAAGCTTAACCTTCCAGCACACGCACTTGGCAATTGTATATGAGCATGCACGCATTGTATATTTTACGACATGCGTTATTTTACCGTTTTTGGCATGAAAAATGACAGAAATGAGTGAATATTGATAATGAATTTTTAAAAAATAAAATATTAATCTTATTATTGCAAAATACAAATGATGTCACATTCAAATATAAGTAATTTATATTTAAGTTCTTATGTTAGTGAGATGGAAATGCAATGATGTATTTCATTATAGGACATTTTAAATTTATTATTTAATAATAATATTTTAAAATCAAAGCCAATTTTAATATTCATCAAAGGCAAGTATAGACAAATAAAAAAGGAAAAGACCTCGGTAGGAAAAAAAGGAAGTTTAACATTACTTACTTCTGCAAGGAAATTTACTTCTTACTGGTTATAAAAACACACTTTAAACTAACTTTAATATTTTTATTTATTTCTAAAAAATAGAAATAAAAGAAAATAAGGAATGGAAATCGCTATTGTTCACCCATCTAAAGGTTTCCTTGTCTTCCTTTTCTTCATCAGATAATTTTTGAAGAATGCGAGCAAAATCATCTGGTTGCACATATTTTTTTTTGCCATGAAAACTGATATAAAACTTACAGAGCCAAATCTATTCAAATTAAAATAATACACGGCAATTAATAACACAAATTTGCAAAATATTTGAGAAAAATTTTTTTTCCCGAATGTTTACCCACGAACACGCATGTGTCGTAACTTTTACAAAAAAGCTGCTACAATAGCACAAATGCCCAGTATATTCCATGATGTGGGGAAGGGTAGAAAGGATGAATAGAAATGACATTCAGACGTCTCAGCTTCAATATGCGAAAAATGTGCATTAAAAAATGAATTCGTCGTAAATTTTGCGCATACGCGCGTGCTGGAAGATTAAAGTACTAATAAATCATATTAATAATAAGATTAAAATCATATTAATAATAAGATTATGTTTACACTCCTAATGCAGAAAAATGTTAAAAGAATTTCTCTCTATAATACACATATAATTTATTTTTAACAAAAAATTATTATTATTATTATTATTATTACTTTCTTGTGAAAAATAAATTATATGCGATTTTGTTTTGAGAGATGCATTCATTTGATTTACAAATTCTTTTATAAGTTTGTAAAATTATTTTTATCTGTATCTACAAGTAGAGAAGATGGAAGAATAACCTGAAATTATTGTAATAGTAAGTGTGAATGTTACCTTCCCAGCAGCAGAAAAAGCGAAAAGCAAAGAAAAATTGCACTATAAAGTCTGAAATTTGTCAACAGCTCTGTGCTGATATTAATAGCTGAATGATAATACTGTACATTAAACTTCTGAATACATTGCAAAACTGAAAAACAATACCAAAAAAGATAACTATTTACATTAATAAAGTATAATCAATGAGAACTGAAGGGAAGAGGAAATAAGTTCTTTACATGGCATTAAATAAAAAGTAAGTCTAAGTCTACTACATTTTTAAGTAGTTGTAAAATTCTTTTGTGCGTTCATTCATACTGCTATATTTTACTAGTTTGTTCATTTAAAGTGTGCTTACTTACTACAGTATGAAATACAGCTGAATAATTTGAAGTTAACAACTAAAATATATGCTCCTTTTTTAGAGTGAACTCCTGTTTATATGAATTAGATATCAGTGGTTTCACACTGCCCATATAAATGGGTCTACTTTTTTACATATTACTATAATATTTGACTGCACATTTACTTACAGTAAGAAACGTTCAGCAAGGTCCAAATATGTCTTTGAGAGATTTATTAAAACATGTTTTTGAAGAGAACTTCCTACCTAGAAAAAAAAAATTAAATCATTATATATTTTAAAAATCTAAAACAATTCCAATGGAAATATATTTGAGCCTGCATTATCCTCTGCCCATCAACTCACATAAGAAGTAATATATTGGGTTTTAATGGAATTTCCCCTCCCACTACAAATGTTGTCTGTGCCAATAGTTCACGCTGGTGAGTTTAATCACATTTTCTCAAACAAATTTTGGCATTTGAAAGAAACAGATTTGCTTTGTGTTGTGAAATTTGTATATTATTATTGTGAAATTAGTATATTATTATCATTAAGTACAAGTTATCTGAAATGGAACTATCATGCTATCAGATTAGGACCATCCTTTACCTTCAGTTCTATTGCAAAAAGTCAGCTACAGAATGTCGTCAAATCATATGTACAGCTTTAGGTACTACTGATGTATCATATGACACTGTGAAGGTTTGGTACCAAAAGTTCAAAAACAAAGACTATGACAATGAAGAAGCAGAGTGCTCTGGCCATCATACTGATGTTGATGAGTGAGAATTTGTGGATATGCAACCACTCAAGAGCTTGCTAAAGAGTTAGAAGTTAGTGCCATGTCCATTAGTCGCACTATGCATTGCATAAACTTGACGTACAAGTTCAATCGCTGGGTGAAGCAAGAGCTGACCCAAGCTGATAAGCACAGATGTTTGTAAGGGCCTGCATTAATCTGCTCGAATATCAACACAAGAACAAAATTCTGGACCAGATAATAACTTGTGATGAAAAGTGGATTATCTTCAACAACACAGGCCAAAAAGGGAGTTAGTCTGTGACCGGTGAGCCTGTCGGCAACATTGCAAAGTGCAATTTGACTAACAAAAAGATCATGCTTTGCATCTGGTAGGATTGCTGTATAAAGAGTATCTGAAAAAAACTAAAACCCTTGACAGTAAGGTGTACAGTGAGATGCTACTTCTTATTGATGCTGGTACCAAGGAAAAATGTCAACCTGGATTCCGGCACAAAAAGGTGATGCTCCATTGAGATAATGGAAGACCATATGCGTCTACACTCACTGGCTGGGCTCTGTATGGACTTGAATGGAATCTTTTGTCCACACCCATCATACAGTCCCAACATTGCTCCTTCGAGCTTCTACCATTTTCCATACTTGCAGCTACATCTTGCTGGTGCTATCTTCCATTCTGCACGGTATGTCCAAAATGAGGTTGATCTGTTTTTGGACTCGTGGTCACAAAGTGTCTGGGCCAAAGCATTTGAAAAACTACCAAAACATTGGCAGAAAATCATAGATTTGGGCAGTGGTAACTCCCCACACTAAAGGTATTGCTTTCATATTTCTCCCCCCAACTTTTATTAAGAACATTTTTTGGTGGAAAACTTTATACAGTCAAAAGTCGTTAATCCGGACTCGTCGGGACTTCGACGATTCCGGATTATAGATCATCAGTTTAAATCTGGTAAGATGGCATGCATAAATTATAAAATTAAAAATATGAAACCATAATTTATGAAATAAAGAACAATTATGATCTAAAGGGTATCAAAATTTACAAAAAAATGCTTAATATTTATTTGTTTACTTTATTAAACATTTCTTTAAGTAAGTGCTTCGTTTTTTATGTGATAATACATTCTCTTTAATTCTATAAACAGACATAATTTCTTGTTCAGTTACAAAGTTCCCCTGTTCAAGTCCTATAATTGCTGTGTCAAGAATACCGACTAATTTGTCAATCGAAATTTTTTCGTTTTCAATAACCTCTGTCACTTTATTTCAATAACCTCTGTCACTTTATTCGCTATCGGAAGCAAATTATAATGACGAGGAATTTGATTTAAATCATATCAAAGACGGAGTACATCCAGAATACTACATTTAGTAAGGAATTATAAGCCAAATAAAATAAAAACATCTGCCCTGAAGATAAGGATAGTGCTGACAGATCAACTTCCAATTCATTGCGTGCGGCGGTGTTTAGATAAACAAACATTAAAGTTTAGATAAACAAAGAATATGCCTTTATCCATTTTTTGCAGCAATTCCACTTTTTGTTTAATGGACTTCGAAACATACTTTCGCTTTGTAGATCCTTTACATATTAGTAAATATATATCAGAAATTCTATTGGACATAATCGAAAGTTCAAGCTTACTTTTATAAAATTGCTCTAACAGTCTGCAAAAAATAATAAGCCGAATTCAATTCGAAGATTAAGGAACAACGCAAGCTGCAACATTAACTGAATTAGATAATTTTAGCTTAGCTTATACCATCCGTTATACATTAAGCGCGCATTCATAAACGTATTTTGTGCACGCGCACACGCATATTCGCAGTCGTAAAGGTCTTACCCGAATGCGTCACACGCGACGCATGCACAGAAAGTTTGTAGCTTTGAGGTCCGGATTATAGATCATTCCGGGTTATGGGTGTCCGAATTAACGACTTTTGACTGTATATATAAACAACCAGATATTTTAATGACTTATATAAAAATTAATTTTAATAAGCATCTAATTAAGGCATAAAAAGACAAAGGCAGTGATTTACTAGTAACTATTTTGAAGCATTGACCATAAAACAGTAGCTTATTGGTGATCAAAAGATGCTATCAAGTTATTTAATTTTAAAATCTTCCTAAATTTATAGGATTGCCAAACACTAATGACCTATTAATTGATTGCCAATGACTGTCAGCCCCTAGGGTAATGGTCCTACAATTTTAATTTTAGAGCTTATCTTAATTTTACTGTGATTCAGTGGTTCAGATTCATCCTACCAGTGATTCAGTAGTTGATCCCAAGAAAATCAGCCTGTAGGACCCTGGTGACCAAATGTTCTGATAAGCTCCAGTTTATGATGATTTATTTTTAATTTAAAATATTTATCTAAATTTAATGCATACCCTTTATCAGTAATCTATGGGGTGCCCATCAGCGACAGGCAAGTTTAAACTCTCAGCGTTACGGTTGGAAAATTCCGTATAGAAGGCTGGCTTCTTTATTCCTTAGACATGAAAATTTCTGCTAGCTTTTAATGTATCCGATTTTGGTTATTATGCATATTGGAAGAAAAGGAATCAAGGTACAAAGTGAAAGTAATCTTTTAATTAAAATCAAGAAAATACCACTTATTCATGACATTTTGAGGAACTTTGAAATTTCAGGGCTAAACCCGTAATGCTTGAGGGTTAAGTGACCAAAATGCTTAACTGGCATAGGTGTGCTGCCACTCCATTTTAATTCTAAAACAACTGTTTCAAAAAATTCTGAAAGGTTTCAGATTTTAACAGTCGCCCAAAAAGGTTTGTTAACATTTTTTACATTCTCGCTGAGTGCACAATGTACTTAGTTTGCTGCTTCACTCACTCCTACTTTTTTTTTTTTTTTTTCCTTTTTAGGTTTATTAATAAGAATAAATTTTTCCACACTTACACCATATACAATTCAACAGCAAAATTATACAAAATTTAAATACAGCACAGCAATATATGCTCAGAATTCCAAATCCAGTATTAAGTATTGGCATACATTTTTCTGTTCTTTTCACTCTTTTCTCAGTTCATCATATCAGTGTTAAGTTTCTTACTAAGATGGCTTTAAAGAACTTTTTTTCTTAAACTTTTTCTGTGTTTATTTTATTTATCAAATATCACATTATTGACATTTATGCCTCATAAAATTTGATTAAACAGCAAAATCACAAAATATTTAAAAACAGCACATCTTTAGAATTTCTGACAGACAGTCTCACACACACTTTATATATATATATATATATATATATTCTGTACAGTGTTGCCACTGCTTACTTTGAAATCATTGAGTTTGTTAATCAAAAATTCACTAAACTTTTACAAAATAGGAAATAGGTAATAAAGCAAATTCGAAATTAGAGCTTCCAGGAACCCATGATCGGATGCAGGACAACGTTATTCAAAATTCAATAATTCTAAGTATCACTGTTTTTTCACATTGTGAGAAACATGCATACATTCATGCAGATTTTTCATTATTGAATTTCTTTAAATATAATACAGGGCGATAACATTTGATGGCAACAATCTGAAAAGTGATATGCTCTTTATAGTGATTCAATACAAAATGCAGTTTTTGAGTCTAATATTCCATTCAGGACTAACATTCCTTTTCAGCTAAAAAATCTAAATTAATTGCACTACCTTATATTATAGTGACCCCCTAGTTTACCTACAATGATAGTCAAACTGTATTCACCAGTGAATGCTTCGACTGGAGCCAGTCCCCCTCGGTTTAATTTTTAAAAATGTATTTAAATTTACTGCACTGTCCAACAGTTTTAACATACAGGTAGACTATTTGGGATAGTCAGCATGCAGTTCACCAGTGATAAATAAGTCTTGACCAATTAAAATTAATTTGTAACAGATTGGTATCTATTACGATTTAATTTTAATTGGAAGATATATATAAATTTATTGCACCACCCTAAACTGATGACATAGTTTAGGGTTGATCCAAAGTAATATCATCTTGCTTGTTGCTGATAACCAACCTTGACAATAGCACCAGTATGTTTCTGTTTAATATCAGAAATATTCTTAGCACAGTTCATATTCTGACATTAGAAACCTCCTTAGCAGGAGTTTTCAAAATTTTTGGTCTGTTACATTTTGCTACATAACAGTAGGCATCTCATGAAGTTTGCCTTTATCTAGTTTATAATATTCTTAGTTTATGTTTTGGATACTGGACAAAGACAATCAAATGATCTACATTCAAAGCACTGAGAGCATTTTCTATCCTTAAAAGTTCTTTTTGGAATCTCTCATTTTGACTGCATACTCTGCTTATAATTGAATTTCTTCTGTTAATAGCTTGTCCTGGTCATGGCCATTTTTTTTTTTTTCCCCCAAATAATGAACCAGATTTAAATTTAAGCATTGGTTTTCCCCTCTCATTGGGAGGAACTGATTTCAGTTTAACAATCCTTCTTGCATCTTCAGTTTTTTGCTACAAGTTATTTTGGAGGCTAGTTTGGTTTATTTAATTGCAGCAAATCATTAGAGGACTATCTGCCTAAGGGGAGAGATGCTTTCATGGAGTACTTTCTAAGGGAAACTGGATCAGATACACATGGGGAAAACCATGAAAATGCCCATGTGGTCGGTCTATTCGTCAGGATTCGAACCCTGAACCAGCATATCAGCAACTTTATCATTTGACCGCTGGTAAGCCTCTCTTTCTACTTATGCATTTTTCTTTCTGATCCCAAATCGTGAGATCTTTTAACTGATCCAGGATTTCTATTTAAAGACCAGTAATTCCCCTCCTAAGTAATTTTTCAGGCTGTAATAAAAAATCATCCAAGCATTCTTTGGAGTTTTCTGCAATTTGACAAAAAATTGTGTGATTTTTTTTCAGGACTTACTTCAAAGCTCTTCAACAAAACATAATTGAGTTTGCTCTTCAGGCTCTCTTGCAATTATATGGTTCCCATTGGGCAATTTCACACAGTAAAATTCCAATCAGTTGAGTTACCCAGTTGTCTCAAATCGCATGGTTCATTTCATCTGACTCCGCCCACAATCCATGGCAGAACTTTTGATTTCAGCAACAGATGGTATAACAATTTTGGTTATGATTCTAAGAGACATTAATTAAGAAATAAGTTTTCGAATCTAGTTTCAAAGAAGTCCTCCTGGGATTATACAGGTAAGATTTTTTTATTTACCTATAAGTTTAGATACGTCACCCAGAAGATCTTGTCAAATTTATGAAATAGCTTTTGCTGTGTTACATTAGACTGATTACCTAATGCTTGTGGCATATGTGAACTATTCTTCTTTTTCAGTATTTCTACATTACATTTTAATTTGCAAATCTCTTTTCTCTTTCAAATTTTAAGGCTTTTGCTTTTGCTATGCAGTCATTTATAATAACTGTTAACAGTTCTCTTATGAAATTTTTCTTGTAGTTCTTGCTTCTGAGAATAAAATTTTCTAAATGTACTGCTTTCATTTCTATGGTTGCATTTTTTTTTTTATTTTTTTCTAATTCTACCTAGCATCCTAAAGTCCTGCTTTTTGTCTCTTGCAAAAGAGGTCATGATTACATTTCGTACAACAGTTTTCTTTTTTGTCCTGCTTTTTGTCTCTTGCAAAAGAGGTCATGATTACATTTCGTACAACAGTTTTCTTTTTTGTTCCTCACAAAATATGCATACTTTAAATTTGATGCAATATAGTATTTTGCAAAAACGGTGAGATTTTAACCATAAGTTTTTCAGCTTATCGTTAATTACTTGATTTGTTACTCAATTGTGTACTTAATATAATGAACACTAAATTTCCAAGCCTAATACAAATATTATCAAACTATTCCATCAAAAAAGACATTTAATCTTACAGTTACAAACAGTGCAACAGTTAACAACATTAATTAATTTCATAATCACAATAGCCCACCAGAGGCCCGAGCAATAGTCATTGAACACTGGTAGTTTGGTCCAAGGATCAAATCCCGGTGAACAAGCAGTCTGCATGAGCTTATTTGTGGTTTTCCCCATATTTAGCATATATGAGCCAGTCTTCCTTAGAAAGTTCTGAAGGCATCCCTCCCTTCAGGCAGATAGTCCTTGTATGCTTTGCGGTAATCAAATACACCAAAACAAACTATAACAATTTGTAATACTTAATTATGTAATGTACAGCAATTAATCAGAATGATTTAAATTGTGAAACTTTAGCTCAGTGTTTAACAATATGCCTAGTACAATATTGATCACTGAACTTGCAGCTTATAAACTTTATTTATGTCAGTGGCGTAGTTAGGGTGAGGCAAGGGGGGACATCTGTCCCCGGGTGCAGCCTCCAAGGGGTGCCAAACTGATGCTACAAAATTTTTTAATGAAATGTTTTCCATTCTTGGCACACAGAAAAGGGTGCAAATTCTTCAGTTGTCCCTGGGTGCTAGAAACTCTAGCTACGCCTCTGATTTATGTAATGCACATAAATTGATTCACATACTATAAATGCTGTAATTTCAAATCAGCCTTTAATAACATTCATTACATAATAATAATTCAGTACATTTTATGCACAAAATTACTTTAAACTAACCTTTAATGGTTGACTAAAAGAGTTTATTAAGGTTTTCTATACTCTCGCTGAGCTCACAGTCTGCCGGTTGGCTCTTGCACTCATACTTGTTAACCATTTTTTTTTTTTTTTTTCTTTTTAGCCTTATTATTAAACATTGTTTACTCATGCCATGTAGAAATCTACAGCAAAATCACAAAATTTTAAATGCAGCATATTTTAAAATTCCCAATGCAGTTTTAAGTACTGGCAAAAAATTTTTTCTATCATTTTGCAGTTTATTACATCACTCTTACGTTTTCTTGGTAACTTCTCTCAAAATGTTTTGTCATTTTATTACTAACATTTTCTGCATTAACTTTATTTATTAAATATCATGTTCTTGGTACTTATACCACATTAAAATTCAACTCAACAGCAAAGTAATAAAATGTTTAAAAACAGCATAACTTTAGAATTTTTAATAGACATTTTCATATGTGCTGAAGTTAATTTTTTTATGCCATACACTGTTACAACAGCACGCTTTCAAATCATTGAGTTTGTTAATAAAAAAATCCTATTAGCTTTATGAAATACAGTACAAAGTCTTTAATCCGGACGTCCATAGTCCGGAATAATCTATAATCCAGACCTCAAAGCTACAAACTTTCTGCCCATGCGTAAACGCATTATGCATTTATGCATGCACATAATACCTTTACACATGCACATATGCGTTTATGCATGTGCATAATAGGTTTACGCATGCGCGTTTAATGTATAACAGACGGTATGAGCTAGGCTAAAATTATCTATTTCAGTTAATTTTGCAGATTGCGTTGTTCCTTAATCTTCTAATTGGATCCGGCTTATTATTTTTTGCAGACTGTTAGAGCAATTTTATAAAAAGTAAGCTTGAACTTTCGATTATGTCGAAAAGAGTTTCCAATTCTGGAGCTGCCGAAGGATCTACAAAGCGAAAGCATGTTTCTATATCCATCAAACAAAAAGTGGAATTGCTGCAAAAAATGGATAAAGGCATATCCTTTGTTTCTCTAACCATTCCGAAATCTGTTTACCAATTTCACGTTGCTCTGCGAGGGAACGTCACTGCACGCAATGAACTGAAAGTTGATCTGTCAGCACTATCCTCATCTTCAGGGCAGATGTTTTTATTTTATTCGGCTTATAATTCCTTGCTTAATTAGATTAATTCCTTACTTACTTAATTAGATTAATTCCTTACTTAATTAGATTAAATCTTAAAAGGTTACCAAAATATTAAAAGGCCTTTACAATAGTTAAGGAATAACAGCTGATTCCTGAGCAAAAAATTATAAATAATCATAGAACAAATAATAATAATTTACTGCAGTCAGTAGTAGTAAAAAAGTATAAGTAGTATTTCATCTCAATGTACTCCGTCTTTGATATGATTTAAATCAAATTCCTCGTCATTATAAATATCCCGAATACACATCAAATAGTTTTCTGGTAGCAATTTTTGACTATGCATAACGTATGCTTTACACATGCGCATGTTGAAAGAAATGTTTAATAAAGTAAATAAATAAATATTAAGCTTTTTTTTTGGTAAATTTTGATACATTTTAGATCATAATTGCTCTTTATTTCATAAATTACGGTTTCATATTTTTAACTTTATAATTTCTGCATGCCATCTTATCACATTTAAATTGATGATCTATAATCCGGAATCGCCGAAGTCCCAACGAGTCCAGATTAAAGACTTTGTACTGTATTAAATAAATAATAAAAATATACAGTCATTCTCTGAAAATATTGAATATTTTTTAATTAGATAATGAATTAAATACATTTTTATAAATGAAATCAATCTGATTCAAAACTGAAAAATTAATATTCTTAAGAACTGCACCTATTGCATTCAAGTAGCTTTGTTAATCCACAACAGACAGATTCAATTTGGAAGAGAAATGTCTTATATTTTCCTAAATGGCAATAAACTTGAATGAAAAATGAAACAACGCATTTATAGTGATTCAACACAAAATCTCATTTCGAGACTTTTTGGACTATTGTAACATAATAACAGTATGCTTTCGCGAGGCTATGTAAAATATTAAATATAAGTTGTTTGACATAACTAAGACCCAGCTAAAATAACAATTTGAACTTACACTCAGAACAATTTTTTTTAAAAAATGCTGCATCCTTTTGTGAAAAACCTAATTTTAATAGTCATTTAGGGCTATCAATAATTTTATATCTCTATTTTTATCAAGGCGCCCTATGTTCTGCAGTGGCTGATTATTAACTTACTCGTAACATAAAATGCAAACACTTATCACAGTCTAATGCTTTTTTACATATTTCTTGAATGCTTTGTAACTTCTTTACTTCTGTCCATAACTGATGATCTGCAGTAAGCAATTCAGCAGCACTTGTTAACACGATCACGAGTTGAGAAAATTTTTCTGTGCAAAGAAAAAGGAAACAAACAGTCAAATAACTAAATATCTTTAAAATGAGGAAATATATTTTATAAATATTTTAACACTAGTATGCTTATAAAATGACCAATTTCATATTCAGTAAGAATTTTATAGCTTATTTACAGTACTTCAATAATTTGGAATTTGCTTTTTAATAAGAATTCTGGGTTATTTAATAGTGCATATAATAATGCATTTAGTTCTATTTTTCTAGATTCTTAAATTTATAAATATGGTAATAATGGGATATACATAACAGAAAAATTTTTGATTATCACATGATGAAGAACTATAAAATCAAATGGCGAGACTGTATTCTTAAACCAAAAGAAAATATTAAGAAGAATAATACAAAACAAACCAAATATGGCACCTGAGCTTTAAGGAATGACATTAGGTTGAAAAATAGACAATAAAAATAATGAAAAAGAGCATCACAAGAAATGCAGAATGTGGATAATTTTATTTTAAAGTAATGTCCTAGATGCGAGAACAATGGCATTTTGATGATTAATACATGGCACGTTTTATCCAGAAAAGCAGTTTCGATATTTTTTTCTAACAAAACATAGGACTTTAGCTGATTAAATACAATAAGCAGATACAAAGAAATGTATTTCGTTTTCTAATTAAGAGGACTCAATTTAAGTATTTTTGTTATTATTAATTTAATTATTATGACAAGGAACAGCACGACTATCTGCTTCAAGAAAATGTTTTCATGGTTGATTTTCTAAGGAAACTAACTAATATTCAAGTTTTAAATAAGAATAATAATGAAAATACCAATATAGCCTGCTCATTTATCAGAATTAGACTTAACTGTCAGACTTAAGTTAAATCTGCAATGAAACTTACTGAAAATATAAAAACCTGCAGCAGCAGGCAAGATTTTTGAAAAATGCTAAATTCACTAGAATGTAGATTAAATCTTAAAAGGTTACCAAAATATTAAAAGGCCTTTACAATAGTTAAGGAATAACAGCTGATTCCTGAGCAAAAAATTATGAATAATCATAAAACAAATAATAATAATTTACTGCAGTCAGTAGTAGTAAAAAAGTATAAGTAGTACATTTATTGCAGTCAGTAGTAGTGAAAAATGTTAAAGTATATTAAAAAAAAAAAAAAGAAAGCGAATAATAATGCCTAATTTAGTTAAGTTCTGGCAACAGTGACTGTTGTTGTCACTGATGTCATTAGGAGATCAAGCTTTGCAGTGCTGTTGTTCTGAAGATGTAGTTCAACTTGAAGATGTAGTTGTTAGTTTACCAATTAAAACTTACAATTTTTGTTCTGCTAATAGTTTTCTTTTTTAGGTCTAAACACACGTTTTCTGATTATTGCCACCAGCATGCTCAAACTGCGCAGAAAAAAACTTAAAGTGGAGAGAAAAGTTAGCAGCAATTTGTAAGCTTAACATCGCAGTTCTTACGCCTTAATGTAAGTTCGGAAATTAGTTCGCAAAATTGGAAAATGCAAAGATATCAATTAAGCCATTATGTGGAAAAAGTGATTGGCCTATTTGGAAATATCAAATTAAGTTATCATGAAGATGTTTTAGAAGTCATGGTTGGAAAACTGAAAAAGCCAGTGGAGCTTGATCAAGCCGCTGCCGAAGGATTTGAAAGATGGTGTGAAGGTTTTTTAATAAAGCCAATAATTACGCTATCCATAAGAACAATCATAGCGTAAGATACTTTACAAAAGGTAATGAGATGCGACAGCGCCAGAGAAACTGGTCTCACACTTTGCAAAATATTTGAAGATTTTTCCAATAACCAGCTTTAAAATATATGTTTAGTGTTCTTCAAATTCAGTTGGTCAAATGATGATATGGCAGCTCATTTATCAAAATTAAAAAAAAATATATGGAATGAACTGGACAACAGGCTTGAAAATAAAGAAGAAAACAGATTTCAGAGATGCTGTTAATTTGCAAAATATTGGATACTCTTTCTCCCAGTTATTGTATTTTAAATCAAGTTGCTTATTTAGTGATAAAAAGAGAATAGATGAATTAATCACACGATTGTGCACCCATGAAAGAGAATTAAAGAAAGATTTAAATTTTGTAAAAACTTTAAATCAGGAAGCATTGATACTAAATTCGAAAGCTAAGCAGAAATCAGCTCCTAACAAGAAAAACAACAGCAAGTGCAATTATTGCCACCAGAGAACATTGGGTCAGAACATGCAAGTGGATAGCTAAAAAAAAACCACTAAAACTAATCTACATACATACAGGGCCAAACAAAAAAAAAAAAAAAAAAGATCAGTATAGCGTTGCTGCAAAATAACACTCCTAGCTGTAAAAGAGGCAATATTTTCTGTTAATCAAATTCTGATGATTGCTTGATTGACAATGCAGCTTCAAAACATGCTGTCAATAGCAGTCACTACTTTATAGACTTGGGGGAAAATTTGAGCTTCCGTATAGTAAATGGAATGTCATTTCCAATTGGAAAAGGCACTGTCAAGATAATAACCATTGCTAATGAGATGAATCAAATCAAAAATCTTGAAAATGCATGGTATCTTCTAGAAATAAGTAAAAACCTATTTTCTATGTTAGCAACTCAAGATAGAAACCAGAACAATTGTTTGAATCAACATTCAAAGACTGCTATTTAAAAATACATGGTGAAATACACTGAAGTGCCACTGAATTAGGGATCGACATGGCTATGCAAATTTAACAGTGCTGTGCGGCAACTGTGCTCACATGAGGAAGTTGTGGTAAATGCACATACAGCTAGTACTATAGTTGTTAACCAGTAAGCACTCGACGCATGGGCCATTCAATTTCCAAAATCCTCAGCGGGCTAGGATTTTCAAGGTCGATTGTGTCAAGAGTACACCGAGAATACAAGGAAGGTGGGAAAAAGAACTAGCAATTGGGAAAACTGCAAAGGACAATTAACCTAGAACAAGCATGGTGTGAGATGGCTCAACCATATTGTACATAGTCAACAAAGCCAAACATTAGCTCAAATTACCACCCAGCTGAATCAGGGCGACAGTCGTACAGTCAGTAAAGGGATTGTGCAATGCTCGCTCACCATACAGCCTTCGGAAGCCGTAGACCCACAAGAGTACCTTTGCTGAATGCATGCCATCGAGCTGCACTTGCCTGGGCAAGAGAACACAGAGAATAGACTCTAGTGGACTTGAAATAAGTAGCTAGGAGTGATGAGTCTCGATTCTGAATACCGATGGGAGGCTGAGAATATGTGTCAGACTCATGAAGCCATGAACCCTGTATGGCAAATTGAAATTGTACAAGGACATGGTGGCTTAATCATGATCTGGGATGTTTTTTCTTGGCAGTGTTTGGGATCTTTGGTACTTGTACCAACCTCCCTCAATATGATTCAGCACATAGAGCTGCTGGGCGACCATCTTCATCCATTTATGTTGTCCTGTCATTCACACGGAAATGGTGTATCCTAGCAAGATAACTGCACCTCTCACAGGTCCTAGTTGGTTAGTGCCTGGTTGAATGAGTATTCTTCTAACTTCTCTGTCATAAATTGGCTACCTAAAAGCCCTGACTTAAATTCTACTGAGCATCTTTCAGACACTGAACCCCCATCACACAACACTAGCAACTCTTCCTAAATTATAGACAGCTCTATTCGATGTTTTGTGTAAGCCATTTCCATAGAATGCTTCCAGAAACCTATTGAATCTATGCTTCTTCATTTGGAAGCCATTATAAAGGTCAGAGGAGGCCCAACTCGTTATTGACTAGCTATCTCTAATTCAGTGGCACTTCAGTGTAGTTCTTCATAGTACAAGAAATGCTAGTGGGGGGGGGGTCTCTTCAAAGCCATGATGAAGGCCTTAGTTCCTGAAACTCACACTGACATAAATGTGATCAAGAATAATGAATCAACTCTTCACCTTTATCATAAACGATGGGGTCACCAAAATAAAACGCACATAAAAGAAATTCTTGAGTTGAATATAAAGATTAAGCCTGATACAAAATTATGTGAAGCCTGCATCTATGGGAAAGCCTACCGTTTAAAGTTTGCAAACACAAAAGACGTTACCAAAGCTGGAGAATTGTTCTTGACACATATTTGTGGGCCATTTGATGAATCATTCACGAATCGAAATATGGATACTTCACAATCTTCAAAGATGCTTACACAAATTTGATACTGTTTTTTTAATTTTGATACCATTTTTTCTTAAAGCATAAATCAGAATTAAAACATAAGCTTGAAAATTTCATAGCTCATGCTACGAACTTAGGGTATAAAGTTAAAGAAATCCTCAGTGACAATGAAGGAGAGTTTGACAACCAAGCAGTTCGAAAGATCTTGAGCAAGCATGGAATCTCGCAAAGGCTCACAGCTCCATGTACACCAGAGCAAAATGGCAGTGCTGAAAGGAGAGAACAGAACAATTCTTGAAATGGCCAGCTATATAATATGAACAAATATTCGAATGAAGAGTGAACTTCCAGCTTTCCTACGGGCAGAGTTTGTCAGCACTTCAGTTTACATACTGAATAGGACGGCCAAGTCTTCAATTCCTTAGGAATTATAGACGGGAAAGAAACCTAGAGTGAAACATATGCACATTATTGGATCAGTCTGCTATGCTCATATTCCAGTTCAGAAGAGGAGAAAGATGGGCAAAAAAGCAGTTCAGGGCTATCTTCTTACGTATGATGGAGACAAAAGATACTGCTTATAGATCAAAGAAGGCAATACTGTTATCTGTTCATGTGATGTTATATTCAATGAGCTCACAGATTGTGAAGAAAGGATGCAGTTGCCTGTTCTAGATCAAAACAGAGACTAATTTCTGGCTCTGGTGTCAAGAAGATTAAGAAAAAGATTAGTCAGAAAAGTTTCTTATCAAAGAAAATTCAAAAAAGAACACAATGAAGAAATATCTGAAAATAGATTAGAAGATTATTTTGAAGAACAAGAATGAGAACATATTAATTTGCAAAATAATTCACA